AGTAATAATTAAGCATAAAATTGTATATTTGTACATTAAATGCTAAAAATGCAAACGATGCCTTTTTTTGTAAATTTTTATTTTTTGTAAACAAATTACTAACAAATTGTAGAATTAAATCCTACATGCAAAATGCGACATATTTTTGTATTTTTTATTAATTTAGCAAATAAACATGCACAGACAAAAACAAATAATTATTCAAAATATCACAAAATACCACAAAATTGCACACCAAGAAAAATTATTTTATTTTTGAATTTTTTTGCGAGTAATTCTCATATAGGGCAAAAATCACGTGCTTACAAATAGTATGGACAACATGTTTCAATTAACAGTTCAAACAAATTTCTGTACACAATCAAGCATGGTATTGAAAATGGTCTTCCACTTAAAGGCTCTTTTCCCACAAAACTATTTGGACGGAAAATATGGCCATAAAGAATCGTAGAACTAGTTCAGAACAGCAATGATATGTATCATTCCCTGTATCTAGGAACTGGTTTTCATTGTCACCCCTGTTACCAGCCTTAATGCTAAGGTAACAAAATCAATATTTCAATCTCTCTTTTGTCAAGTTTGGACAATACGAGTGGCATAAGCTGTTTCTTATAAACATGCTTTCGAGAAGAAAGTCATGATGAGTGCTGACAAGCCATTCAAGTTTTGTTGTATATAATATGTCGAAATGTTAAATAAGAATAAATACAATATTGCTAGAGACATGAATGCTGCTACTGGCTGGTATCTTTTTATGGTTGTTGGTTTTCGAGTTTTTAACTAAAATTGTCATATTAGTTAGATTTTTGAACTCACACACGTACATTGCAACCAGGAAATAAAATGACATTTCTCACTTTTGAGAGTCAAAACGAGATTGTTTTTAGCTAAAATTCTTACCTGGTTGCAATTATGTGTTTTTGCAACTTGGGTTTTCAAGAAGGTTATGAAAATGTTCTGTTTTTTTTGTCGCTTCTTTTCCTTATGATCTGTTAAATATTTGGAGTTATATGTTTGAACTTGGGAAAATGCATAAGTACCCCCTAACTTATACTCGGATTCTCAGCTACACACTTTATCTTTGCGGGAATTCTATTACCCCCTAAATTATTTTTAAATATACCACCTTAAAATTAGACAATCAAAATCTTGGCAAGTGGTGAATTACACGCGCCACTTGTATTTTTATTATTTTTTATTCTTTCTTCTTTTTCTTATCCTTTTTTCTTATTTATCATTATTCTTATTTTTTTGGTTATTTCATTCTCTTTCTTTTTGTTCGGCATAATGGTGGTCGTCGGAATTTCAAGAACACCATTTTTTCCGGCGAATTTTTTTTTTCCGACGATAGATTTTTATCCTGATCTGAGTATATTTTGCTTTGCTTATGAATAGATCATTTTGAGAGTTTAATTTGTGTGTGAAAAGGATAGAAAGAGGAAAAATAAAAACAGAATAAATGGAAGAAAAATGGTAAGATAAAGTCGCCGGTGAATGAATATCCGTCGGAATTAGAGAAGAAACGCAAAAAGAAGTAACAAAAAAAAAAATCGGAAAATCGTTTTTTCTTGCTTCTCACTCTCTCAAAGGAGATCGAAATACACACACTCTGTTACGGGTAAAAACTTACCCGCACCAGGTGTTTACACCAAACCAATAGATACATGTCATGTATCTTGCATATGGACTTCAATCATTTAACCATGGTAAATTATATGCATTCTCATCTAATTAAATTAATTAATCATAGTGAGTTAATATAGTTTGGTGTAAACATCCGGTGTGGGTAAGTATTACCCCTCTGTCACGTCATCATTAAGGATGCAAATAATTCTACTTTAAAATAGTTTGGGGATAATAAAAATCCCGCAAAGGTAAAGTGTGTAGTTGAAAATCCGGATATAGGTTAGGGAGTACTTGTGCATTTTTCCTTTTAACTTTAGAGCAATTTTTATCGATTGAGTTAATACCAACACTCAACAAGGAGGAGAAATCAATGAACTAGCATATCAAAGACAGCCTTAGCATGTTAATGTTTAGCTTTCCATTGAAATTACTTCATGTAATTAAGAAAAAAGATAAGAATAACATCATAAATTTATGAACTGGCTTTGCAATCGAATCCAGTTAGTCAACTAATAATAAGGTTGATTATAGAAAGCAATGATATAATTTGAGGCCATGAACTCAACCAATAATCTCTATGCAACAAACTATAGAAAAATGAAAATAAATTGTGTTCGAGTCTCAAAGGAAGAAAACTCATGCCTTTATTCATACGGTAACAAACACTTCATGAAACATCATAATAAACTGTGAAAGATAAAGGCTTAAATTTGCATCTCCAGCAACTTATTAGACTTGAAATCTGCAATGTTCAAAAATGAATTAAGAATTAGAGTTAAAATGGTTAGATTATAATCAAAAGAATCTGCATAGAGATCAAGTTGAATACCTGGACACACTATTGTCTTTTCTTGTGATTTTTTATTCTCGTAACAATTTTGCGTTCCAATTCTTCAACCATCTTGCAAAACCATAATGGATTTTGAGTTGACAGCATTATGTATATTATGGACAGTGCAATAACTAGTCCACAACTGTAACCTATAAGAACCGCCTGCCAACTGATCATTGATGAATCTTCTTCTTCTCCTTGATCTAGCACAACTGGAGTTGTCGCTTGTGTTACTCCGTCATCACCACAGCCTCTTGAGAGTGGAAATCCACGTAACCCATCCATCCCTTGGTATGAACTGTTCTCGAAAGTATCAAATTGATTTCCTTTAGGGATGCATCCAACGAGATGATTGTAAGAGAGATTTAAGACGGCAAGTGATGTTAGAGATGCAAGTTGTTGCGGAATTCCTCCACCAATTTTGTTAAATGAGAGATCCAATGATTCAAGAACAGATAGATGTTGCAGTGATGGTGGTATGTGACACTCCAAGCCATTGTGAGATAAGTTCAGCGTACGAAGTCCAATGAGACCTCCAATAGTACTTGGAATACAACCTTCAAATCTATTCCTTGAGAGATCGATAACCATGTTACTAGTATTCAAAACTCGAGGAAATTCAAGTGTCAATCCCTTTGTTGTAAATATCAAATTAGATGCAATTTGTACATTTGCACTCCAATACCAAAGTGTACTCATGCTCTTATCAATTAGTTTCATCGATTGGAATTTCTCAAAAAGGCCTGCTGGTAAATTCCCACTAAATGCATTGGATGAAAGATCCATAATTTGAAGTTTTGCAAAGAAGTTTTTATTCCTTGAAGCTCTAATGGACCCATGCAACTTATTTGATCTCAAATATAAGATCTTCAAATTCGGTAGGATTCCCAACCATTTTGGAAAAGTGTCGTTCAACACGTTGTTACCTAAATCAAGTAGTTCCAAATACTTGCAATTGATCAAAGATCCTGGGATTTTCCCCTCTAACTTATTCCCATGCAATTTAATGACTTTGAATATGTTTCCAGTACTAAAATTTGCTTGAATTGTCCCAGTAAGATTATTATTGCTTAAATCCAGAACATGAGTACTATCCATCTCGCCCAAACATTCTGGGATTGTTCCCTGTAAATTATTGCTTCCCAGATCTAGCAACTGCACTGTTTTAAGATTGCAGATAGTTGAAGCAATCTGTCCACTGAGATTATTTTGAGAAAGGAGAAGAGATTTTAGGTTCGGCTGGTTTAGTAGTGAATTTGGAATAGGACCTTGCAGCTGATTTTGTGTTAGATCAACTATGCTTAATGTTTTGGACTTGAACTCTTCAATTTTGCCACTGAAATGGTTATTGCTCAACTCTAACCAATCTAGTGATGGGAGGGAGAATATCCAGGATGGTATAGTCCCATTCAAGTAATTAAATGACAAAAAGAGCTCGTTTAGGTTTTGTAGACCACTTACATTGGAAGGAATTGGACCAGTTAGGGAATTGGATGAAATTTCTAAGTACCTAAGTTGCGTCCCATTGAAGCACTCAAGTCGGCCATCCAAGTTATTATTTCCAAGCGATAACCTCTGGAGATTACTGAATTTGAAGAACTGGGAAATTTGTCCTTCAAGTTGGTTATTTCCAAGGTACAAAAGCTCTATGCGAGTTAGATTCCATAGAGGTTTAGGAATAGGCCCTGAGAGATTACAAGAGCTCATGTCCAGTTCATTCAATGAAGTTAAATAGCTAAATGATTCAGGTATATTACCAGTAAAATTCACACTATTGAGATTTAAACCCATGAGAGATGTGCTGCTATTCCATTTGGTCATTGGAAACCTAACTGTGAGCTGGGTATTGCCCCATAAGTTAAGAGATTTCAAGTTGGAAAGGTGAAAAACTTTTTCAGGCAATGTCCCATATAATTGCGTGTATGAAAGTTGTAGAGTTGTTAAATAAGAAGAGAAATTTAGAGGAATGGTGGAAGAGATGTTGACAAAGAAAAGTTCAAGCACTCTTAATTGGGTCAAGTTCTTAAGGAGAAGTTCAAAATTGTGAGGCCCAAGTCTAAGTTCACTATTGATACGAAGAACGTATAATTTAGAAAGATGAGAGATTTCAAAAGGAATTTGACCTGAAAAACTTGTATATAATAAATCAAGATGTGTCAAACTAGAAAACTCACCAAATTTAGGCGAAATGTGCGATCCAGAGAAATCATTATAAGATAAATTAAGCCTTTTGAGATTGGAGAGTTTGAAGAGGCTACTGTTGGAATGAAACTTGCCTTGAAGTTGACTGCAACTGAGGTCAAGCTCAATCACTTGGCCTGTTGTCTTGTCACAACTAACTCCTTCCCATGAGCAACAATCTCTGCTTCTATTCCATGAAATCATTTTAGGATAAGATGTGTGGCAGTAAAAATCCAAATAACCAAGATTGTCAGGATATGTGGTAAACATCTGTTTGAATTGGAGAAGAGCAAGAGCTTGATCTTTGGGGCACAAATGAATTGAGGATGAGGAGAAAGTAAGTCTACAGAGAAGGGCATAAAGCATAAGCAATGCAAGTTTTCCGTAATCCATTTCTGCACTATAAAGATCAAAACAATCAAGAAATCTTTGCTTTGTTGCTCTATTGAATAGTTCTGAGGTATATATATCGCAAAGAAAAGAAAATCTACTACTGCTGCTTTGCAGCAATCACTTCCAGGAAGCTCAACTAGTCATTTTCAGTCAAATTTTTAGTTATCAATTTGTATATATCTTCTCTGCACTTGTCAAGTAATTGGACAAAGATTTAAGTCAAAAATATTATGAAAATAATTTAAGTCTGACAAAAACATTTCAAGTCAAAAATTCAAATAAATTAGGTTTGATTAGTTAGGATAAGAGTACTCCATAGACCTTGACTTACAAGTCAATAATTCATAAACAAATTCAGTACGTAGGACAAAAAGGGAAAAATAGGTCTTCGTTTTCGACTGATATATTCATGTTTATTTTTATTCATAATAATTTCCAAAGATGTAATAAGAATGTTACAGAATTCCTATTTGGTATTTCTAGTACTATTTTTGTAGATCATGCTCAGAAGATTAGTTTATTTTCACTGTCAGAATTTGAAATACATACTATTTGTTTGTAGATGTGACATTAAACTATGTTAATTCATTTTGATTGATATAAAGCTATTCATTATTTGGTTTTCTCCATCATACAGTTTCAATGTAATTTGGAACTATCTTACACCATTCGTTTGTATTTTTTTTAATTCCCTCCCAAATTAGGAGGATCTATAGTGTTTCCACACTTCCCTTTCAGCGTGACTCGAACACAGAATCCAGAACCCAATACTATTTGTTTGTAGATGCGGGCTATGTCTTTTTCCGCAAACTATATTGTTTACCTTTCATTTGGATTTATTATTATGATTTAGACTTAATTCGTATTATTTAATTTCTTTAAAATGAATTGGGAAGGTGTCAGCTAGTCTTGTCTTCACGAGAGGCGTCATCACGACCGGGTCCGGGTTTAGGGTCATGACAAGTTTAGAGAGTTTTGTAACTTCAAATTCCAAGCAATGATGATTTCTTACGAAAATTAAAGAATAAAAGAGAAGCTGCTAAATCTATTCCCAACGCCATCTCATTAGGATCACCGTCAAACGGATATGAAACAGCAGAAGAATTGTTTCCTCCTGAAAAAGATCAAACGGATTTAGAACACGATCTATTTGAAATTTACATAAATAGATTACCAAAATTTAAGCTACCAAGGACAAGTGGCAGCTATATACGGAATGCACGAGAATTTTCAAAGTCAACACCCGACATCACCAGCAGCTCCGCTTCAAAAATCTGTACGCAATGTACATAAGTGTAGTATCAGTACAACCGACCTCATGTACTGGTAAGTATTTTTTCTAACCTCGTCGAAGTAGTGATGAAGTTTTTTTTGTTAAAAGATACTTTCTGATAAAACATGTACCGTAAATCAGAAATAGAACTATACTATGATATAATAAAGATGAAATTAAACAGATACGCAAAACAATAACCGAGTGTTAACAGAGATCACAATTTGGCATCATCAAATACCTCGACCAATCCTTTCCTTAGAATGAAACCAATAAACCACAACCGTCAATTCTTAACTTTTCTAGCATGAGGAATGTACTCAGATATCAAGTCAATTGTATGACAACACCCTTCGTGCTTTTATCTCATCCTCACCCAATTTACGTATAGCAGAACCAACCAGATGATAGAAATATCGATAATAGGAATTACAAAGTAGGAAATACACAAGTAGCTATAATGAACGAGGATATACATGTGGACAACAATAAAAGACTAGGCGGAAAGCATGTGAGTGATGACAACAATTGGAAACAAGGAATATAGACTTCAACTAACTAGCGTGATAGGGGCCTAAGTACAGATTTAACAAATAAAAAGGAAGCACATGATCTTTACAAGTTAACAAGTAGAGGCATGAATGACTAGCATGGTGGAAGGCTTGTACCGAGTGCAACAGAATAGATACGACATGAGTGTATAAAAGCAGGAAAATAGGCATGATATTTGTAAGTTAAGCAAGCAGAAGCTATGGGTGACACAACAACAATCGATATAGAGATAAATGACAGAACAATAGTAACAAGTTATATCAGATCTGAGATTGCGACAATAACAGCTCAAGGTAAAGACATAAACATATACACGGGAAAATAGATATCACAATATAATGCATGTCCCTCATCCTAGCTTGTACGGAAACACCCATCGTGCCATGACCTCACGATGATATAAAGCATAACAGCATAGATAAAATGGCACGACATCACCCTTCGTGCTTTACACTCTCATAACATGGCACGATATCATCCTTCGTGCTTTAAACTCACATAACATGGCACGACATCACCCTCCGTGCTTTTACTCTCAATAATATGGCATGGCGTCACCCTTCGTGCTTTACACTCTCCCTCACATGATAATGTACAAACAATGGCATGGCATCATACTTCGTACTTTACACTCTTCCTTACCAAGCATATGCATATCAATAACAAACAAGGCATGAAGCATAAATAACATCAAGGGGAGTGTTTTTAACGGATATTCCAAACAAATCCAAATCATAACTTTCCAAGCCAACAATGGTTAAATAAACCCTCAAGAACATTATTATTCAAATACTTCCACAAGTCTCAAAAATGATCCACAACACAACTATAGAATCTAGTATCTCAAGAAGATCGGCTGTAGCAATGTATTAATGATTATGCATAGGGATGGCCCAATTAGACATATCAATGTATTCTCAGAATCCCATCAAATTTGATCAAATTATAATAAGCTAAGTCTTGATTTCTAACATTTAAAAATTTGTTCTTAATATCTAGAAGTCAAGTGATGCATGAATCAAGAAGTTCACGTAGTTCTACAAGACATAATTATAACATAATCTACCCCCGAGCATGATTAGGGCATCTACCATTGCACAATTTTTTTACACCAAAATGGTATAAACACCAAAATGGTGCAAAGTAATTCCAACCCATTACACTATTTTTTACACCAAAAGAATATTCCCTTTATAATCTCTTCTCTTCTATATTATATTATTTTCTTTATAGAACAAATCTTTTCTTTTTTCTTTTTTACATATTTGTCTCATATAAGTCATATTTTTTTTCCAGTCCGCTAGGCAATCGCCTAGGGCTAGTTTTATTTATAACCAGATAAAATACGAAATACAATGTCATGATATCCTACGAACTGAAAGAAATAAAGTTTGAACTTAACAAGTATCCTATTATCAAAATTGAGTGTTGCACTCAAAATTGATATCACATTAATGCTATTAAACTTTGTAATACAATTCTGCATCCAAGAATGTGCATGTGAAAGGCACAATGCAACGTTCCTTCTATTAAAAAAAACCCGGTTGTTTGTTGCAATTCCATATCATTTTCGACACTTGTTTTCTCTTTTGTTTCACAAAAGCATGTTGTACTTTGTTTCCATATCGAGCTCCCTCCATCCTCCATAGTAGACTCACATGCTCTCCTCGAGGTACGTTTAGCAAATAGTCTTGGCGTGCAAATCCATTTGCAACTATCGTTCCTCCATGTTCGATCACGTCCCAGCTGTCAGCACCGTTCGACATGCTGGTGGCATACCAGTGCACAACATTAAGCGTGCACGACATCTGCTTTGTGCATGACATCTGTTCGTGATGGAGCCGACATCTGCGTCGTCTTTGTGCACGATATCGATGAAGCCGAGGAGTCAAGAGAGCTTTGTGGTGGAAAGCACGTGAGCTCCACCTACAGCCTTTTCCATGTGATCCCTTTGCTCAACAGCATGTGTTTTCTGCCATGCCTTCCACATTAAACCATGTGTGCACATTAAAATATTTTTATGAATCAGAAAATGCCACAATGCACAGTTAGATGTAGCTGCCTCCTTTGCGTGCTCGTTGTCCCTTAGCATTATCCAGCTGTTGTGCTTAATTTCCTTTGCGCGTGCATTACTGCTGTTAATGTCGTAGCCATATGCACCTATTCCCATTCTTCTTGTTGTTGTTCTTGCTGTAATTTCCACTCCAAAAAAGTGTACTTCTCTAGCCCAAAATCAGCATAATATTTGAATCTCTCCCACATGTTGATCGCATAAAGTTTGACAACAGTTATCGTGCATGGCATCTGCACCTTCTTTTCCCCTTGCTGCCTTCCTTTTGCTTCATCTGATGAAAAGAGACATCTTTGTGCTGGAACGCATGTGAGCTCCACCTACAACTGCAGCATAAAGAAATATATCCCACAGTACCTTCATCCTAGAGTATTGCATACTTTTATGTATCCTAGATAACTTTTCATATGCATTCCACTTTTCCATTTGATTCCTTTGCTCACCAGCATGTGTTGTCTGCCAGGCCTTCCACATTAAACCTTGTGTGCACATTAAATATTTAATCCGAAAGTGGATTGAAGCATGTGTTAATATAACACATTAGCCTTTGTTGCCTTTTTTCTCGAAAACATATTTGCTGCACATGCTAGTTGTGTTTCCAATGCCATTTGCTTCTTATTGTGCTCGAAATGAGGTGTAATCATTTTTATATTCCCAGATCCTGTTTCTAATTGAACCATGCGTGTGATATTAAACACTTCTGCACCATGCTGGTTGTATATCCAATGAACTGAAAGCACGCTTTCACCCCATGCTGGTTGGGTTGCCAATGCCATTAGTCTTTGTTGTTGTGCTCGGTTATTGATGTGTTTTTGTTCTTTAGCATCAGTTATCTCGAAAGTTGCAGCATGGAGTGCCATAAGCATCGTAGTGGCACCTGTAGTAGAAAAAAGATAGTTAGAAATACCAACCATTATATCCTCCTCCCTTAGGATTTGAATATATTGGTCGATTAAGTTGACATGCCTCCTGCTCTTCCTTTTCTCTTTGCTTCCTATCTCCTGTTCACCTTCACCCTTAGATTTGGACATTTCAGCTTATCTTCATTAACCAACCTCCTTCCATGTGCATCTAGATGCCAGAATTGTTGGCATTCTATTTCTCCATGATCTAAAGCATAATTAGCCAAGTGATCTGCCAGCTTGTTGCCCTCCCTATGAATATGAGTAACTGTGTAATTGCCCCCATTCATTAGTTGCATCATTTCCTCTAC